CCGGGAGCGGCCACTGCACTCCAGTCTGGGTGACAAAGTGAGACTCCAACTCAAAAAAATGATAATAATAATGTTGCTATTGTGCTCAGCATGGGTTCCACCACACGGGTCACTGGGAAGTGCACAACGCCGTGGGCATATTCACTGAGTTCGGCAACCGTCACCACCATCAATCTTAGAGCATTTCTTGTCATCCCAGGAAGATGCCCCGTGACTGTCCCACTGTCCCCAGGCCCGGGCCACCACTCATCTCCTGCCTGTCCCCACAGACTTGCCCGTCCTGGGCATTTCGTAGAAAGGGAATCTCCCAACATGCGTTCTCTCTGGCTTCTCTGATGGTCCCTGTATCCCTAGGAGCCGTCTGTGTTGGAGCATGTGTGGCCGTGTAATCCCGTCACCTTTTTGCCGCAACTCTGAAATGTTCAAATGCCACGTTAAAATATTAGCCTGGGTTAACGTGTCCCTCTCGCCCCTTGGGCCTCCTGCCTCAGATGCCTCCCCCGTGTCAGGCCCAGATTTGTTTTAAGGAGTTTGGAGTCTGCAGCCCGTTCAGCTGAGCCGGCCCTGAGTGCAGTACTTTTTAGCAAGGATGGTGTCTGCCTGGTGCACCCAGCCATCACCATGGTGGGCAGAAGCTGTGACAGCTCCCGCTCAGCTCTGTCACCGTCACACGAGACAGGCAGTGTCGCCTTGTCAATTCCCATAAGCTCCTGCCCCCATTCACTGGGCTAAACAGATGTGCCCGTTTTTGGCAAAGGACTGTCCTTCCCCATGGGAGGGGACACTGAGAGCCAAGGCCATCCTGAGCAGATTAAGTCAAGCTAGGTGGAAGGCTCGGGCCTCTGTGGCCCCCAGAGCCTCCTGGATGCCAGCATTTCCCCCAGACTCTGTTGGGGGAAGGTCAGGGCCGACCGCGGAGCCCGGAGGCCGGCCCCCCACAGGCCACTCTGCAGGGGAGTCACAGGGACGGCCCAGGCCTCTGCGGGTCACAGCGGGGCCCATTCACTGAGCACCCGTGGGCTAGCCTGTGCTGCGGAAGCAGGGCGAGGGGGCCCCAGGCGCCCCTGCCTTCTGCCCTGGTGCTCACCGCTACCCCCAGCGTGGCATGGCAGCTGTGGGAGGAGTGAGGAGTGTGCATGAGGGGCCCGCGCTGGCAGCCACGGCAGGTGGCTGTGACGGGCAGGGGGCTCCAGGCCTAGGAGCTGGAGGTGAGGAAGAGGCAGGTGGGCTTCCTTTTAGGCAGGAATCTGGGGGAAGGGCCCAGGCCCCCGGGGCGGGGAGAGCGCCCAGCCCTCTGCCCCGTTAGTCATGGATTCTTTTCGTGGTCGTCATCTCTGCGAGCACAAATATTATTCAACTCTTGGCTGAACTCCCCGTGCACGCTGGCGCTGGAAAAAGTGAAGCCGCTGTGCGTGGGCCGCTTGGGCCTTCGGGGCCTGCGGGCGATGCGGGCTCGGTCGCCTGGGCCC